TAAAAATATAATTTTTAATGATGCTGTGATTATTGATTTAGTTAGCTGTGATGGAGTTAAGTGATAAGTTTATAAAGTCAAAAAGTTAGTTTTTCAAGCAAAGAAATAATTTTTAGACTCTAAGGTTAGTAACACCCAAAAAAGTTGTCTTTTTGGTGTATTTTTATGGTGAACAAAACAAGTCCAGGTGGGAGGGGGGGGGGCAAAAAAAATTTAAAAAAGGTATTAATATTTTTTCAAAAAAGGGCTTCTTAAGGGGGGGCACAATGTTGCCAAGAGGGGGGACCAAAAATTTTTTTTGCGCGCTAACGCGCGCACACTGTGCCCCCCCTAAACAAAAGCCCTCGTACGCCCCTGGGTACCATGTGCAGTTGTTCAAACGAACAATAGTTCAAACGATAACATTCTGTGCTAATTTTAACTATTTTGAGTTTGAACTATTAAAAAATGTTCAAATGAATAGTTTAAACTGTTCGAATGTTGCATTTAAAGTTTTTCGATCTTAAATGATTATATTTATTTATTTTCGCAAATATACTGAGATTTACGTAAAATATCATAAAACTTGTTGAAAAATTGTCAAGACGACATTTGGTAAATTTTGTCGATATATGGCTCATTTAAGGTTTAACTGTAGTTCAAATGAGCAAAAAAAAAGTTAAAAATGAGCAAAAAATTTGTTCAAATGCACCGAAAAATTTAATTAAAATGACCAAAAAAATAATTCAAATGAAATAGAATGAACGAAGAAAATAATTTCAATGAAAAAGTTCAACTTATGAACAAAAACTAGTTCAAATGAAATAATCGAAAAACATAGATATTGTTTTCAAATGAACAAAAAAAATAGTTCAAATAAACAAAAAATAGAAATTAAATGTATTATAGCTTTCACTATAATATATGGCCTATAGCGCTGTTGCTAACGTTTTAACCTAACCAACTCCACATCGGGTATCACTTTGTCAATTTGATGAATGTTGATTGTTTCTGCAGCCCTCAGCCTGTCCCAGCCGCAGCACTCGGTTCAGAAATTGTTCTAACCTAACTCCATGCATATCAGCTATAATTGATATGTCAATTTGATAAATGGGACCGCATCACTCGACCCCCTAGCATGTCCTAGCCACAGCGCTTGGCCCAGAAAATGTCTTACCCTAACCTAATCCCACTTAGTCAATTTTATAAATGTGACCGCAGCGCTCGGCCCCCCATAGCCTATCCTAGCCGCAGTACTTAAAGCCCAGAAATTAATTCAGCCTGGTACCCAACTATTGTCTATCACTTTGTCAATTTCATAAATGCGGCCGCAGCGCTCAGCCCCCCAGAGCCTGTAATAGCTGCATCGCTTGGCCCAGAAAATTGTCTTAACCTATCCTGTCGACCCCTCATATCGGCTTGCACTTAGTGAATTTAATAAATGTGGCTGCAGCGCTCAAAATAATGGTATTTTTTTTAGCGTTTATAAGTATGATGCAAACTTTAAAATACGTATATTTCGTAAGTTGTTCGTTTTTTTCGTATTTTTAAGTATTTTTCGGTTTTTCGGTCAGAAAACAAACCGGTTTCTGATGAGCTAGTGCAAATGTACATAAGTTCAAGTTTGATGCAAACCTAAAAATACCTATATTTTTGTAAATTTCATATCAAAGAATTTTTCAAAGTTTATAGGTTTTTATTTTACGTATTTTTACGTAATGATCCATATCAACGTTTCCTGATACGGATCCGGATCCGAAACGCTGCCGTTGATAAAATTCCTGAACCTTTTACTCTCTCGTTGTTTTGAAAGTAGTTATGGTATGAATGCACAGCAAATGGTCTCCAAATATTCTAGGTTCTGGAAAGACGACCCAGATCCCCCAGTGGTGTGTAGATTTCTCTAAATCTATGGGGAAAAAGACAGTCGCCTGTACTCAACCCAGGAGGGTAAGTAAGATTTATAACGGGATCAACCTCTAAACAGAAATGAAAGCCATTGCTGAAAAACATATTTTGAGAAGAACGCAAAATCTGTTTAAAGTGCTCAAGTCTAAGTAGTAGGCAGGGCCGGGGTGTATATTTGATTGAAAAATCATATATCTACTCCCTTTTTGGAATTTATTGTTAACTCCAGATGTTTACGTGAGCTGAAGTTTGCTAATGTGGGTATTCGCTGATTTGGGGTTGGGGTTTTAGGTAAAACTAAATGAAGTTTTGGGTGAAAAGTATTAAATATCCTTCAACCAGTTTTATTTTTCGACCTACCTATTTTGTTACAAGTTATTTATAAATACATTCATTAGACCTTGCCAATAGGGATTTTTCATTAATATTTCTCGCTTGATGAAATGAATTCTGATTTATTAAATTTATATTTTATTTTGTATAGGTGGCAGCTATGTCTGTTGCGCAGAGAGTAGCAGAAGAGATGGATGTATCCTTAGGTCAGGAGGTTGGGTACTCTATCAGGTATTAACTCTAGATCAGGAGATTGGATACTATATCAGGTATTAACTCTAGATCAGGAGATTGGAAACTCTATCAGGTATTAACTCTAGATCAGGAGGTTGGGTACTCTATCAGGTATTAACTCTAGATCAGGAGGTTGGGTACTCTATCAGGAATAACTCTAGATCAGGAGATGGCATACTCTATCAGGTATTACCGCTTGGTCTTGAGGAAATTGGATAAAATTGGTATTTTATAAAAAATTACAATTTTTAACATATTTTTTAAAGTTTATACACATTTTTTTAATATGGTTGATATATAGGTTTGAGGATTGTTCTGGGCCTAGAACTCTTCTCAAGTACATGACTGATGGTATGTTGCTGAGAGAAGCTATGAGTGATCCAATGTTAGAGAACTATCAGGTAGTTTACCAGTACTCGTATTAAATCTGACTACATTTGATTAGGTTAAACTTCTTTCTAATTTGAAGGATATTTTATGACTAAATCCTGAAAATTTAGTTAGTGATGTTTAATACTTGAATATTTGTGTTGTAGGTTATATTGCTTGACGAAGCTCACGAAAGGACTCTAGCAACTGATATTCTCATGGGGGTGCTCAAGACTGTTGTTACCCACAGGTTGATACCTTTCCTTTAAGCTTATTTTGAATTATATATTTTTGAATTAGTTCGAAAATATTATTTTAATATTTGTTTAGGCCGGATTTGAAGCTCGTTATTATGAGCGCTACACTGGACGCAGGAAAATTTCAAGGTTGGTTTATTAATAGTGCATGAATAATATTTCACTTAAATCAAGGTGGGAGCCGTTTTTAAACAAAATAACGAGAAAAAAACAACCAGCCAAGGGTATCAAAAAGTACAGGAAAAGCTGTCTTTTTCATGAAAACTTAACCCTTCAAAATTTGTTTTTGTTGTTGTTGAAAACTTGAAATACTTACTCTCGAAGGATCAAGAAAAAAATTCACAACTTAAAACTTAGGAATATTTAAATACTAATTATTTTCAGGTTACTTCGACAACGCTCCTCTGATGAATGTTCCTGGAAGAACTCATCCTGTTGAGATCTTTTATACTCCAGAACCAGAGAGAGATTATCTAGAGGCAGCCATTCGTACAGTTGTACAGGTACATTCATTCGTACTGTTTTACAGGTACATCAAATCGTAGGGAGGCAATTTGACACTCAATGACACAAAATTTTGTACAGTTTGCATTTGGTTCTTAAATTTGAGATAAAAGGCTGAAATTTTGCGTTCAGTCTCCAATTGTGGTCATCTAACCGAATCACAAAGAAAATTTGGGATTGGAGGTCAATTTACCTACATCAAAACCAATGTTTTGCCGAAAACTACTTGCACCTGATGCCATGTTCCGATCAACATAAAATTTTCAGTAACGGCTCATATTGGGCCACATCACCCATAATATGCACAATTGCACACACATTAAATTTTAACCCTTTTCATGTGTGACCCTACTGTACCGGTACACCACCGATTAATTCAAATTTCATTCAAATTACTCCATCGTCCACTTCAAACTAATTGCAAAATATTCAAGTAAACATTTCAATCAAAATCTTTTTCTGCATAAGTTGCTAGCATATATTTAGTATAAGCCTTTTGGTATTTAACATTTTCTTGATAAAATAAAGCTGTTTGATTTATTTGATTTGATTGAACGAGCTATTTCCACATTGATTAAGTAAAAATCTGAACTATATTATTAAAGAGACAAATTATTATTCAAAGATTTTTTATTTTTACCTAATTAATTATCTAAACAGATTCACATGTGCGAGGAGGTTGATGGCGACCTCCTTCTTTTCCTGACTGGACAGGAGGAGATAGAAGAGGCGTGTAAACGTCTTAAACGTGAGATAGATAACCTTGGACCAGACGTAGGTCAGTATTTACAATTTAAGCTTTTCAGTTAAATTTAGATTATAATGGAATTTTTAGAAATCTTTGTATTTTAATATTTAATGTAACCAACTAAAAGGATTCTTTTTCTTGGTTTTTTTTTGGGGGGGGGGGGCGGTTATTTTTCTAAACCACTGATAATTTGGCGGGTTTTTTTTACCTCTCAAACTTTACATCAACTGTGGTGCTAAATCATTAAAATCAAGTCAATTAAGATTAATTGTTGGGGGTGAAGTAGTATCTAATTGTAATAGAGTATTTTTGAATCTTAATTGGTTTAATTGATGTATTAACTGTTAATGTTTATTCATCACGGGTGTGATAATTTAAAACATCTCTTATCTAACTTCATTGGCTCATCATGATTTCGGCTAAGCTTGTCTTTGAAAAAATTGAAACATATTTCACTAAAAAGGTTTTCACGTATTTCGGTTTGCACATCAGAGTAATAATCTTTGTTTTTCTTTCTGTTTGATAATAACTCATGAACCCCTTTTTGCTTCAAATTTTAATTGAGTGACACACTACTGAGAAACTCAGGGGAAACGCGTGAATGTTCTTAGCCTGGTTTAAAAATTCCAAGTGGGCTGACTATTCTAGAAAAAACTTAGATCAAAGCAGGGTTCCTTATGTAGTTTAGCTTATAGCCATGTACTTACTTATTTAGGGGATATGAAGTGTATACCCCTGTACTCCACCCTTCCTCCAAACCTTCAACAAAGAATATTCGAACCTCCTCCAGGAAAGAAAGCTAACGGGGCAATCGGACGTAAGGTATGTAAGATTTTAAAAGTAACTTCTGTCCAATCCTGTTTATCTTTACTAAATGTACACTTTTCCTCAAATTTAAAGGGAGTGTTCGCGAAAAATGAAAGGGGGTATAGGCTCAATGCGATAAAAAAGTGCTTTTGATCGCTACTAATTTTACTTCTATCTGTTGCGTCTATCAGGAGAAAATTGTTAAAGACGTCTCATACCGAAGAACGAAGCGACCATACAAATTGAGAAAATTGCAACATACGACTTAGACCGTAAAAAAATAATTTAATTTCAAACAAATCATTCAGATATTACAACCTATAGTCATTGATTATCTTTCGCCACATTTATATATAGTTGATTTTTCATAATATGTTTTAATTGTTATGATCTGAGAGTTACTTATAAAAACATTTATTCCTGTTTCGAGGATTTTTGGCAATGAAGACGACATTTTCATATTTTCCAGGAATGTTCGAAAACAAGTTGTAAGCTAAATATTATTTTAAAAAACAAAATCAAAACTAGTATGAAATATCAAATATCAACACTCCCTTTAAACTGTTTCAAATACTAGATAAAATAAAGTTTTAGCCAAGTGATATTGAACAAGGAGATTTTGTTTCAAAATAATAAAAAATAAATTGTTTAGATTGTTGTATCAACAAATATTGCCGAGACAAGTTTGACAATTGACGGAGTCGTCTTCGTCATAGATCCAGGCTTCTCAAAACAAAAGGTACAAACAAATACAGGGTGTCCCACGAAACATGACATTTAATAAACAGTTATTTTTAGTTAAACAAAGCTTTTGCTTGATTATATTTTATTTTGAAATCAATTTTAATAGAACAAGACTCCCATATAATATATTTATTGCTCTTTGGTATCAAACAACTGAGCAAATAATGGAAAAAGACATTCTAAACTATTCACCAACTGTCATGTTTCGTGGGACACGCTGTACTAGACACAATACACATTGAACCTCAGGAGGATGTTAACTGTCTTGTAAACATTGCTCCTGGGATCTAGATCTGTAAAAATATGCGGATCTGAATCCAGGGTGTGGAAATATCACCAATACATGAAATAACATCCCGTTGCTCTATCTTGAATATATCTATCAAGTAATGACTTAAGGAAATATTAGCCCTGCTTGCGAAGTATAAACTCAGTACTGGGTCAACAGATTCTGATTTCGGAAAATTATCATTTTAGTTCTTTGATCTTAATATTTAAACTGATATTATAACTTAAGATTAGAACTTGGACAAGAAAAAACAGACACCAAGAGCTGTATTTAGCTTGAACAAATTATAATGAAATTATTGATTGGTTGATTGATTGATTGATTGATTGATTGATTGATTGATTGATTGATTGATTGATTGATTGATTGATTGATCGATCGATCGATTAATTGGTTGATCGAATAATTGATTGATTAATTTAAGGTTTACAATCCTCGAATCCGTGTGGAGTCTCTTCTCGTCTCTCCCATCAGTAAAGCATCAGCTCAGCAGCGCGCAGGTCAGACATTACCATTACTTGTATTGCATCTCTGTTGGTCACAATTCCTGTGATTTATCTATACTATACTATAGTACTAACATCTGTTTTGAGCAGACCGCCTGGGTTATTCTCCTTCCTAGAGCGAGGCATGCCGTTTTGCCCATGAACACATTGCGGTGGCAAGGAGCGTCTAGTGTCGATCCCTCTTTTATCGAATGATGGACTTACTGCTAATAATAATAATAATTTATATATAATCTTCCTGAATATTAAATCAATGAAATTTGTCGCCATTCTTATATTTATTTGAATTTATTAAAAATTTTCAGATACATATACAGGGTTAACCATAAAGGATGAGATCTTAGAGGCGACTAAGAAATTTATATTTTCCTTATAGCCATGTACGCCTGAACTGTAAACTTTGTTCGTTCTTTGTGAAATCATTAAATAATCCACTAATTAAACGACTATGACACAGCAGAAGACTTATTTCAATATCGGAAGGATAATTATGTAGAGATTATCTCGTTGAATGAGCTGGGTCATTTAAAGTGGTTTGATCTGTTTTTGGTCTTCACGATTCAGTTCGGATTTATTTAGCTGTTATATTTTTATCTGTATTAGGTCGAGCAGGACGAACAAAGCCTGGTAAATGTTTCCGACTGTATACGGAGAAGGCATACAAGAACGAGATGCAGGATAATACATACCCGGAGATTCTCAGGTTAGAAGATTAACTAGAATATGAGGATAGGAGAAAACTGTAGAAAATGGAGAAAGAATTTTTAAAATCAGGCGACTAACGTTAAAAATAAAAGTTAGAAATTAAGAATCGTGGAGAGTAAAAACGAAATGGGAGAGAAAATGAGAGGAAAGGAAATAAAAGCAAATACTAGGATAATGATGAAAACTAGATTTATGGAACGAAAAAACCTACTGCTCTGGTCATGCAATTTACGTGAATATCTCCGTGTTCAGATCTAACCTGGGAGCTGTAGTAATCCAGCTGAAGAAGCTTGGTATTGATGATCTGGTTCATTTTGATTTCATGGATCCACCTGCTCCTGAAACCTTGATGAGAGCTTTGGAACTTCTCAACTACCTTGCTGCTCTAGATGATGATGGTAATCTAACAGAGTTGGGAGCTATCATGGCAGAGTTCCCTCTGGATCCTCAGCTAGCTAAAATGCTCATTGGTACGTTCTGCGTAGGAAAATTTTTGTTCTTGTTTCGAATTTTGTCTCATTTGTGGTTTTGATCAGGGTTTCGGATCTATCACATTTTGCTACGGATCCGTATCTGTATTTTACTAATTAAAATTAATTAGTTTACTAATAAATTAATTATTAATTAATTAAAATTCAAGTTTTAAAAATCACTACGTCAAAAAATTCTCGCAAAAAGTATTTTTCTTCTACATTTATGGAAGATATTTCGTTCCCTTTTATCCGGATTCTGGGTGCCAAAATGTTTTATTTAGCCAAGATAACCTTTATAGGGCATTTTACTTGTTATGTTTTATTTGATTTGATCTGATCTATTTTAGCATCTTGTGAGTATAACTGTTCCAACGAGATCCTATCCATCGTGAGCATGCTCTCTGTTCCCCAGTGCTTCGTGAGACCAAACGAGGTTTGTTTATTTAATAAATATAATAATATAAATAAGCATAAAGCATATACTACTAGTTGCACAAAAATATTATTTTGTAAAATAATTTTACTTCAGAAGTTTTTTGTACGATTTAATAAAAATGTTAAACTGAATTTTTAATATTTGATATTTATACAAGTTAATTATTGGATTGGGAAGATAAAAGAATTTTTGTGGAGCAAGAATCTTAAAAGAGGCAACAATTTATAAATTGAAGTTTAGAATTTTTAATTTATTTATTTTATAGGTAATTTTTTTTGGCTTATATTTGTTTATTTGTCTAGGCCAAGAAAGCGTCTGATGACTCTAAGTTGAGATTTGCGCATATAGACGGTGACCACCTGACTTTGTTGAACGTGTACCACGCCTTCAAGCAGAATATGGAGGATCCACAGTGGTGCTACGACAACTTTGTCAACTACAGGTAAATGTGGGTTCATTGCTTAGTCCTTTTTATTTTTGTTTTTATAACTCACAAGAATATAATTTATACGAATGCAAATTGAGAAGTGAACATTTTGTAGGATTACGATTTAAAAACTCGACGATAAAAATTATGAAGTCTACAACATCAAGTTGCAAAGATGGAAATATGGAACGATTAAATGTTCATTTATGAAAAATGAAAAACAAATTTGGTGTTTTGTTTAGATCACTAAAGAGTGCAGATAACGTTAGACAGCAGTTGTGCAGGATTATGGACAGGTGAATGTCATATTTAGGAAATTCGGGAAATATTCATTTAAGGGGCGTATTCAGTAATTTATCCAAGAGAGGGGCTTAAATTTTTTCTTTCCAGGGTGGGGGGCTCGGTCCCGTTAGGACCCAAAACCCTCCTTAAACCCATAGACTTCACTGACCCATGGGGAGGGGGATTAGACCCAATATCCCCCCCCCTGAATACGCGCCTCTGCTTCATGGAAGGGTTATATTTTTCAAAATTTATATAATCTGAAATTTCTTCGTGCGAGTTAGATCAATAACAAATGATAAATTCTATCTTTAAATTGTTAAATATCTATTTTGTTTTTATTTAGGTTTAATCTGAAAAGAACAAGTACGGATTTCACGAGCAAGGATTATTATCTGAACATCAGGAAAGCGCTCTGCTCGGGATTTTTCATGCAGGTCAGTCTAGATTTAGACAATTGGTGATCACTGATCATCATTTGAAAATTCAACTTTTCGTTTAGTCTTGTCAGTGGGGCACTGCCGACATTTCTGAAGTGACGCATATTTTTTAAAATATAAATGGTGCGCATCAAACCTTGATCTCAGCCAGCATCAACGATGGAAATATCTTCGTTTTTCTTTCTTGAAATCACTCAGAACCATCTTTACGAATTAAAAATAATTAAATGATGGCCAAAATCATTGTAATACACTATTATTTGATTTTGTTAAGCTGATGGGAAGCAGGAAGGATGCTCAATTGTAATTATTTTTTTATTCTTCAAATGAATACAAGAAGCGTTTTAAAGCAAAAGAGTAATGACAAAATATGTTGGTTTCTCCTATTTTGTGAAAAAGGTTATTTTATCGTTTGAGTTCATAAAATCGTTTTATTAATGAAACATTCTGTTTTTAGGTCGCACATCTGGAGAGAACTGGACATTATTTGACAATTAAGGTAATTAAAAGTTTTTAGAACTTGTCGCATTTTCCCGGTAATTTTTGTTGAAAAAAAGCAAGGAAATGAAAATCAATTAAAACGGTTATTTGTTTATCAGTAATCTATTATCTGCTTTCTAAATTTCCACGTCAGGTTCTCAAACTTTATTCAATTGGACACAGCTGGAGAGCTCAGGAGTCAGAAACTAATTTTAACAACCCCGCTGATTTTCAAGAAATTTTGATTTAGAAGCAAGTTCCTGTAGTTTTATTTTATTTGTGTTGTTGATATTTAAAACTGCTTTCTACAATACGTTGACATCACCAAACCTTTTTTCATAGGATAACCAGGTTGTCCAGCTTCATCCGACCACGTGCCTGGACCACAAACCCGAGTGGATTCTCTACAATGAATTCGTCCTCACCACCAAGAACTACATCAGGACCTGCACAGATGTCAAGCCGGAGTGGTTGGTCAGGTAAAGTTATCAACTTCATTCTCACAAATATATTTCTCTTGAAAATAATTGATTTCAAAATAAATTTATTTATATTTTTAGAGTTGCACCTCAGTACTACGATATGAACAACTTCCCTCAGTGTGAGGCTAAACGACAGCTGGAGCAGATTATCGCCAAGATTAATTCCCGCCAGTACCAGAAGGGATTCTAAGCTGGCAGATTCAAAGATTTTTTTCCCATTTAATGTCGACATCGCTGTTACTAAAGACTTATACTGATATGAAAACTAAATCAAAGGATAAGAAAGTGTGCCCAAGTATTAGAAAGTGTTTCTTTGTCGTGAAATTATAAAATAACATTTTATTAATGTGTTTGAATTAATTATAAGAAATTGTATTTCACTTTTACTGTAGTGTACTGTTTCTATACATCTAACCTTCTGGGCGTATTTGATTTTGTCTAAAAGCATTTGAAATCCATCAGCAGCAACATTTTTTCCTCATTATTTGTCTATTTTCAGAAATGTTGACAATGTCTGGTAGTAAAATGATGAAGAATATGTCTCGAATAGAACAGTTAATTAGACAGGAACAATTTTTGTTATGGAAACTTTGATATTGATTGTAACATTAAATCCATCCCTTTGTTCAGTCGGTCGAATTTTTAATTGGATTGATTGAATTGTTTCTATAATCCAAAACTTTCCCCATTACTTATTTAGGATTCTGCTGGCGAACAGTCTAGAAATCTTAAGATGCACATTGACCCTATTTCAGAATAGTCATAAATTTTGTTCACTCATATTTTTATCTTTGTTCCAAAACATTCGTATTTCTTGAGAACTGTTAATCTTTTCAGAATAAATCAATCTAAAATTAATTCTTAGGACACAAGAAAAATAGGGTTAAAATTTCTTTACCGATGAAGCACTTAATTGAATTCTGAGGACATTAAGAAAATATGCTAGAATGAGCTCTATTTCATGACCCTCCCAGATTTGCTATGCAGCACTTAGCCTCCGCTTTGCAGTATAAATTTGATATTTACGGGAAAATAAAGATTTTAAGAAAATAAATTACAAAGTTAAGTGAATTCGATTTTGTTAAAATCTTTGATTTAAGTCATTCCTGTATAAAAAATATATTTGTAATGAAAAATTATTATTTAAAAGAATTATCTAAATTTTAAAAAATTCAAAGAAAAAGGTATTTCTTAATTCAAAGATTTTTTAAAATCAAATCGATTTCTTTTTACGAAATTGTTTTCTTCATAACCTCCTTTTCGCGTAAAAAAAACCTTCAAAGTTTTAGTAAAAAATTTGTACTGCATAGCGGAGGCTCAGTGCTGCATAGCAAATCTATGAGGCTCATTGCGGCCGGGGGTTCCCTCCCTAGTCTTTCCTATTTAGTCCCTGTTTTTAAGGATTCTTCCCGTGCCACTTTTTCTGAGATTAGCTTAAATAGAAAAGGATTAAATTCGTTGAACTCGCTTTTTTTACTCTTTCATTTCGTTGGATAATAATACATCCATCTTAAGTAGGTTGTCTTTAAAATTCCAATTTTGTTTGCAAATTATATTAATATTCAACAAAAATGTTTGATTATAGTGTTCAACTGTGGCTAAACGAAAGCAGGATGTTTTCTATGATTCAGAGGTAGGCTGATGTTCGACTGACGTTGTAAAACGTTACTTTTTTCACTTGGAAATAAATTAATTCTGTTTCAATTCCTGAACAGTTTTTTTTCTTGTATTTGTTCTTCTAGATTTGCTTTCGACTATTTTCTGGTTCTTGCTCTTAGATTTTAATTTCTTTTCTTTTTAGATCTAAACATTTTTATTAGCACCAAAAAAGCACGAGTTTGATTACAAAGATTACATAGTTAAGTTACAATTTTGATTTTTTTTGCGGACCATTGCTTAATACTTGTTCTTATGGTGAACAATGTCTAGGTTCAAGGCTTGTTAAAGAAACTCACAGGACTCAACTACCAAAAGATTTTTAGGTATGTTAGAATTGGTCAAGGGCGTAGATTTTTAAAATTCTATTTGGAGCAAATTTGACCTTTCATACTTGCCTTACCAAATAAAGTGTTAAACGATTTTCAAACTTCCAAAATTTGTCACGATTTTGTTGAAAAAAAATGAACTTGTTAATCTTCAGAACCCGAAGAATTGGCGAAAAAATCGAAGAAAAAGCTGTTTATCAATTTCTGACGGACCAAGAGCTAGAAAGAATACAGAAGGTAGAAAATATTTTCAATTTAGTTTTTTCTCTTCTATAAGTTCGTTAACTACCATGAAGCAGAGAATTTTTATATAAAACTGCTTTTGTCTTGTTCAATTATGGGAATTTGTTGATTTGTGTTGAGAAGATGAGGTTAGCACAGTAAGGGTTATTGACTTGCATTACACAATACACAGAGTTAATTAACACAAATTTTAGTAAATATTTTTACTGGGTGTTCCCCATCATGTTGGATTGTGGATACTGCATATGCTATCAATATTGGGGGGGAGGGTCAAGATTTGAACAAAAGCTTGGATATATTCCAAGATTATATGGGGCCTTCTTTTAATAATTCTTTTTTTATGTTCACTATTTATTTTAACTAGGAAACTGAAGTGAAAGCTCTAGAAAAGTTACAAATGCCTCCAGTCATGGATGTTAGGAATACAATCAATTAACTCACTTTTTCCATATTGGTGTTGAGTTTCGTATATCTAATTTTAAATAATAAAATTACCCCCCCTCCCCTTCCCGCCAAAGATTAAATCAACTACAACAATTAATGAACCGTTAATTTTAAATTTAATAGCGTAGACCGTAGTTTAAGGACTATTTCTAGGTGACCTTTCATTTAAATAAAAAGAGGGGTATGCCCGATTTACAACGGTACCCTTCTAACCTTTGTCTGATCTCAAGAAACCGTCATTTTTCAGGCAAAAAACGTGTTTAATGCTGACAGTTATCTCAAATTTTTCTTCAAGTAGAAATCCGCAAGTTTGATTTTTATAGAGAAACCATAAATGAAAATAATCGAAATTCAAAATATAGCTTATTTATTCTTTATCAGAAAAGCTTTTAAAGGTGCTGTTGTGAATTGGACATGCCCCACTCTGTACTAGGAAGGTCACTTGAAATTTCGTCTAACGACCCTTTTATAAGCGTGATCGGCATTAATTCATAAATCTAGAGTTAAAATCCAATTTAAAAATGATAATATTTATATTGTTTTACATTCCCTGAGATACAAAAATGATTGATCGTATGTTCAGAAAACCAGCTGGGCGTGTGTTAGAAAAAGACCCTTTACTCATAGGAAAGCAATCTTCAAATTCTTTAATTTTGTCAATAGATATGTTTCCGCTTGGAATAATATTGCCCTTATCTAATGAAACTTCTAGAATTGAGAATATTCAAGTATAAATTCCACTAATCAATTTTGCTTGTTTTCTAGGGTTCGATATTAGCAAAGTAGTTTTCACAGATATTACCTACGGAATATCAGGCAATTTGAATTTTTGTTTAAATCAATCAATCCATAAAAACTAACAAATATATTATAATGTTTTTGTTAAATGATCGGTTAACCTCCGCAGAAGTAGTGTTTTTGACCCAAGTTAATATGTTTATAAAATGGAAAGTGAAAAGTATGCATGTTAATGGAATTTAAAATGATTAGTATGTATGTTAATGAAATTTAAAATAATTAGTATGTATGTTAATGGAATTTAAAATAATTAGTATGCATGTTAATGGAATTTAAAATGATTAGTATGTATGTTAATGGAATTTAAAATAATCAGTATGTATGTTAATGAAATCTAAGAAAAACAGTATGTATATGTTAATGGAATTTAAAATGATTAGTATGTATGTTAATGGAATTTAAAATAATCAGTATGTATGTTAATGGAATTTGAAATGATTGGTATATATGTTAATGGAATTTAAAATGATAAGTATGTATGTATGTTAATGGAATTTTAAAATGATAGTGTGCATGTTAATGAAATTAAAAATGATAAGTATGTATGTTAATGGAATTTAATATGATTAGTATGTATGTATGTTAATGGAATTTAAAATGATTGGTATATATGTTAATGGAATTTAAAATGATAAGTATGTATGTATGTTAATGGAATTTTAAAATGATAGTGTGCATGTTAATGGAATTAAAAATGATAAGGATGTATGTTAATGGAATTTAATATGATTATTATGTATGTATGTTAATGGAATTTAAAATGATAAGTTTGTATGTTAATGGAATTTGAAATGATTAGTATATATGTTAATGGAATGATGATTAGTATGTGTTTTAATAGAATGTAATATGATTAGTATGTATGTTAATGGAATTTAAAATGATTAGTATGTATGTTAATAGAATTTAAAATGATTAGTATGTATTTTTTCTGGAATTGAAAGTGAAAAGTTTGTGTTTTAATGGAATTTAAGGAATTATCAAAACGGTAGCATATGACTGTTTGACTTTGGTCGAGAGATTGATTTATTTGATTGATTGATCGATTAATGATTGATGATTGATTGATGATTGATGATTGATTGATGATTGATTGATGATTGATTGATGATTGATTGATGATTGATTGATGATTGATTGATGATTGATTGATTGATGATTGATTGATAATTGATTGATTAATTTATTAGAGCGGGAGCGAATAGTTGTAGTCCGAGATACAGATGGTACTCTCCGTACTGCAGAGTGGGAGGAGTTGGATAGGATTAATCAGACCTATTATCCCAGGTAATAACAACCTTCGAATCATGTTCATAAATGGTGATATTTTGAGATGGATCGAAGCTTGGCTTTCAAACAGGGGGCAAAGAGTAGTTTTGAATGGCCAATATTCAGAATGGAAACCTGTCTTAAGTGGTGTTCCCCAGGGATCGGTGCTTGGTCCGATCCTTTTTATCATCTATATTAATGACATTGACTTTCTTTGTGCACATATTTCTGTGTTAAAAAATTTGCTGATGATACAAAACTTGCCCAAAAAATGTTAAACGAAAGTGACAAAAATATATTACAAAACTGTCTTAATAAACTTTGTGATTGGGATGAAACTTGGGGTATGATGTTCAATGTTGATAAATGCAAAGTTATGCACATTGGAAATAGAAACCCCTGCTATTCATACACCATGAACAATCAAACCCTGTCAGAGATCGACGAGGAAAAAGATATCGGAGTTACTATGCATGCAAACTTGAAACCTTCAGTGCACTGCAACCAATCAGCTCAAAAAGCAAATGGTATATTGTCACTTATTTCTAAAGCATTTCATTATAGAGACAAAGTTACATTCATCAATCTCTATAAGCTTTATGTGAGACCTCACCTAGAGCTCTCCGTCCCAGCTTGGTGTCCTTGGAGTGTAGGAGATAAAGAAACTATTGAAAAAGTGCAAAAAAGGGCGGTTTCAACGGTTTCAGGACTCACTGGCTCATCGTACAGTGAAAAACTAATAGAACTCAATTTACAATCCCTTGAAAATCGAAGACTCCGCTATGATTTAATTGAAACCTATAAAATTATTCATGGTGTTAATAATGTTAATAAATGTACTTGGTTTTCAATGTTAGCAGATACATCCAATAGGATTACAAGAATGTCAGAAAATCCTCTTTCACTTAGTGCAAAATTTTGTATATTAATGTGATATATGCAACCATATGAATATCATGACAACAATCGGAAATTTTCTTATATACTCCGCCAGGAGTCCTGAAAATAATCCTAACATAAACATAAACATAATTGTACATCAAAAGCTCACAACTTTTGTATGAGATGGCGCAAATCTTCAACGCTTGATCTCGATATCCATTTGAAATGTAGTTGTCGTAATTATCGTAATTCCTGTCGCTGGGTTATGATCCCGGGATATTTAGGAGAATAAATTTAATCCTTCGGACGACATGAAAAAAAAATATAAAAAGCTGCTTAATTCAGCTCAGGGATTAACATTCAACACTAGTTTTAATTCACTGGTAGATATATATACAGTACTAAACTAATGTACTTGTCTTACGTTTGCTGTGATATACAAAAGAAGATTACACGATTAAACATTAAAAAGGCGCACATCGTTCGCACAGTTTGAACGTCAAAGGGAACCTCATTTACACGGATACACAATTCAATGTTTATTATGCACTAATAATTAACAATCTTCTGTCATCATCTCTGTTTTTCTGATATTTAGTTTTATAATGACCAGGTTTCTTTGATGAAGAATCACAACTTAAAACTTTAATCATCTTGAATATTTGTAACTAATGGTTATTTCTTGTTTTGAAACTCTAACTGACCTTACCTTTATACTTCTACTAGACCTGGTAGGAAGCATACTATACCTGCTCTGTTTGACCGGAACCACCTGGAGACTATACTGGGACCTGATAAATATGAATATATACTGGATAGAAACTGTCTACAATTTGAACCGGATAATCCGGTTTATATCAGGTGAACTGTGGAATAATTTTGATTATTCCACGGTTTTTCTTTAAATATTATAACAACAATTTTGATTATTACACTTTCTTCCTACGCATAATATCTCCTTTTAAATGGTCTGAGCAAATCTTGAGGTATATACGGTGGATCTCCCAACCTTAAAAGGTCTACTAGCCATGCACTGTGTTTTGATATTTGGAAAAAACTCGCATTTTTCAAGAAGAATTGTTTGTGCATTTTTTAACGATGCAATATTTGGTCATATTTCTATAACGTAAACGATCAACTGAACTTGAATATACTGCAGTATATAATCCTGTGTTTACAATCCATATTAAGAGTCTATCTTACTATCAATACAAATATTAAATTATCTACATTTTACCACCCCAAGAAATACGATCACTCTATATACAAGTGTATGCAGTACTAGGTACGTAAACATATCGTGATGTACACAACCGACCACACGATTAATTAATTAATAGGGAGGTCGGTTGTGTACATCTGAGCTAAGCTTTACCTGTTTGTTTCATTTCTCTATGGTTTGTACAAATTTTTTCTAAAAATTGTACAAATTTTCATTTAAAATGTACGGATTTTTTCCAAAAAATGTACGGATTGTATGATTTCTTTGCACGGATTTGTTTTTTCAAAAAAGTTTTGTCCACCCTAAAAATGCTGCGAAAATTGTTAGATTGTGCGAACCATGAACCCACATAAAGCCTCAAGAACTATCAGGCTTTTTAAAATGTTTCTAGTTCTGTTTTAACCGATAAGAAATTTTTTCACTTCAAAACAAATTTCTATCTCATATTCCAAACCTAGGACTTTAATTTAAAACGAATTATTTTTGTCAGATGATTAATTTTAATATTTGATTGTAGTACCGCAGAGCTTGTTTACAATCATATCAACGAAAACAAACATTTTAACCAACTTCACTCAACAAGGTAAAGTATTATTAATCTTTTTCTGAATATTAACAATTTTTCTAGAAAAAGAAAATTTAGTTCTGAACCCGTTTTTACATGTAATTATCATCTACTAGGATTGATATTTGAAAAAAAATATGACTTAATAATTATAGTTATGTTTAGGCATTATGGTCCTATGGTTTTCTACCTTTGCTCTAGTCAACAGATTGATGAATTCTTAATTCACCAGGAACAAACAAATTAAGTTTAAAGGAACTAAAGACGATATTTTAAGTGACTGTTAATTTCTACCGTGGCATGTTAGATTTACAACGGTACCCACTCAACCAGAATAATAGTTATAAATTATTTTCAATTAAAGTTTTTATGTATTAAGTGACTTATAGGTTTATACTGCAAAGACAAGAATGAAATTGTGAGAATTTAACATTTCTCAGGATAGAAAAACTACAATATCTTTGTCATTATTATTTTGAGAAAGATTCAAAGGGTACTCCGATGCTGAAGGCAAATCCCCATATTTTATTTTTCATTTGATTTGACGGACACACCATTTTATATTTCATTTGATTTGACGGACATGCCATTTTATATATCATTTGATTCGACGGACATACCATTTTATATTTCATTTGATTTGACCTATATAAAACGGACATACCATTTTATATATCATTTGATTTGACGGCCATACCATTTTATATTTCATTTGATTTGATCGATATAAAACGGACATACCATTTTATATATCATTTGATTTGACCGATATAAAACGGACATACCATTTTATATTTCATTTGATTAAACCGATATAAAACGGACATACCATTTTATATTTCATTTGATTTGACCAATATAAAACGGAAATGCCATTTTATATTTCATTTGATTTGACCGATATAAAACGGACAAACCATTTTATATTTCATTTGATTTGACCGATATAAAACGGACATGTCATTTTATTTATATCTGTTCATGATAAATATATATCTGTTCATGATAAATATATATCTGTTCATGTTCAAGTAATACAAGGGAGAGGGCAAGAACTTCTGAACATAATCTTAAACCAAACTTTAAGAAGAAAATTTCCAAATTGAGTTTTTATTTATTTGATTTGTCCTTGACAGATACTGAACCATGATCTAGAGGGTGCTGTAAATACTATTAAAGTTTATCAGATAATAAACCAAGATTTTTCCTTTTCTACTGATGGAGATGCAAGAACAGTTATTTCAAGATTTTCATCCTCTGCTGCTAAGAAAGGACAGAAGATTGCTATGGCCCTGGAGAGAGTAGCTTAGGACGTATTTAACCTTGAATTATCTCTGAAATCTTAATATTTTCCAGTTTATTGGTTCATCCTAGTATCTTCCTTTTCCAGAAATCTAGTTTCTTGATTAATACCAAAATGGCTGGGATTGATCAGGGTCTTCAGAACTTTATCCAACAGGAGACAGAGAAACAGAGGTTTCAGGTAAGTCATGGTAAATCATCCTACCGTTCTAATAATCATCCTCCCGTGCTAATAATCATCCTCCCGTTCTAATAATCATCCTCCCGTTCTAATAATAATCCTCCCGTTCTAATAATCATCCTCCGGTTCTAATAATCAACCTCCGTTTCTAATAATCAACCTCCGGTTCTAATAATCATCCTCCTGTTCTAATAATCATCCTCCCGTTCTAATCATCATCCTCCCGTTCTAATAATCATCCTCCCGTTCTAATAATCTTTCCCTTCTAATAATCATCCTTCCCTTCTAATAATCATCCTTCCGTTCTAATAATCATCCTCCCGTTCTAATAATCATCCTCCCGTGCTAATTAAAAATAATTAAAAGTTGAAATAACAAATCATAGTGAACGATTTCCCCCTTGTTAAATTTTGTTTGCTCTGCTGGTCAACCTCCTGGCACCAAATATTGTGTGTCTATAAGGCTCTAGTTGTCTAAGCTATCGAGATGTGTCGCCCTGGACTATGCCGGTTGTGATACATTCTGGTTTCTACAATTTGAATTCAATCGCATTTTGGTCTTATTTAACTTTCTGTGGATATACTGAGTTGAAAAGCTTCCGCCGACAAAAATGTAAAACAAGGAAAAGGTGAAATATTTATTTAAATAGATCACAGCTTGCTAGAACAAACACCAAACTGTTAATTGCCCGTGACTGAATTTTGTAATTGTAATGAAAGAATGTTATGAATTTTGGGAAACCATAAAAAAATGAGTTTGAAGTAAATGAATTTTAATAAATTTTCAAGTACGCCAATAGTTGTAATCAGCATACCAATCGAATATTTGTCTAATTGTATTATCAGTAATAAATATACAATATATATATATGCGTTTAGAAGAAGACATTCAATATGAAAAGTCATTAATTTTACATCTGAAAATTTCAATGTTATCAAAGTTTTCATTTTAAAATCTACAAAAAAGAAGTTTCACCCCGCGCATAAATTTAAATCTTCAAAATCCCCCCCCCCCCCCCCCCCTTGTTCCTCCGGTTTAAGATGGAGTTATCTCATTTCTTATCTCTTCAACCTGTTTCTAGTTGAACGTTCAGTTTCAATAGTAAGCATATTACCTCGCTTATTCGTGTAATATATTTGATTTTCTTCTCTTTTAATAATATTATAAAAGATAAAGTACCCGGCGTTGCCCGTGCCTATTAGTCGGTGGATAACAACTAGCGTTAAAACACGCTCATTACTCACCGTTCTGCTATATATATATTGACTTATGTAGACTGTAGAGTGTAGACAAATCAAAGATCTTTAAAAGTCCATTTAGACCTTTTTGTCACGTTGCTGATTGTTCTGTCACGTGCTAGCTTTATTAAATCCGCAAACGTGCTATTTTTCGTCCCAAATCCTAAGCATAAAATATTCTTGAAACTACTTTAAGTTCTTAATAAAAGAGAAATAAGAATGAAAACAATAACTTTATCGTTAACCGATGATATCATATATTGCATAAATTAGCCAGTCGTGAAAATACTATCTATAGGGGATGTTTTTCCAATGAGACCTAAAAAATTCAAAATCGTCCATGCAACGTAATTATCAACCATTTTAATAATTCCAAATTCTTGTTCTTTAGACTGTTCTTCATGAGATAACGGAGAAATGCTGGGATGTAAGTATTTTTATATTTAAGTGCTTTACATAAAGTTCCTAGTTTCAAATATTTTTATTTAATAAATTGTCGTGTACTGTAAATCATTGTCATGCAAAAGAAGTTTTTGTTTTCTGTGTATAAAATATCAGACTAGAGAGATTATAGAAGTAGATTTAACATTTTATAATCACCGTTTACGTGTTTTTTTAAATTGCACTCTCAGTTTACGTGTTTTTTTTAAATTGCACTCTCAGTTTACGTGTTTTTTTAATTTGCACTCACAGTTTACGTGTTTTTTAAATTGCACTCTCAGTTTACGTGTTTTTTTAAATTGCACTCTCAGTTTGCGTGTTTTTTAATGATTGCGACTCTTGAGATCATGGGCACATGATGAGACCTATTCACTTGAACTTAGTAGCACTAGGGCTACATAAAATATCTCTCAGGACTGGAATTATTTGTAGCGTTTGAAGAGACTTCTGAAATCACTTGAAAAAAACTTACGCATGCTAACTACAAAAAAAAACATATTTCTACCGGCCATTTTAACGTTATAAACTAATTTGGCTAAATCAAAAAATACTGATTTTTAAACAACAAAAGGAACTGGCAGTACTCGAAAAACATTTTCACGTGTCTGGGACAATACGTTTTATTTCGTGTAGATAAGTAGAAACATATTTATTGTATTTTAGACCTGCTTCGATATGAAACCAAGCACACGAGTAGAATCCAAGACTGAAACCTGTCTCAAGTAAGGATTGAAATTTACAAGCTTTTAGATCTCAGACTTTTTTTTCTCTAATCATGATTTTTCAATTGAAGTTCAAAAGTTTATTCTATATATTCAACAATTTAGGAATTGTGTAGAACGGTTTATTGATACAAATGTTCTTATAACTCAGGTAGCTTTTTTATTGATATTCAAACGTATTTAATTTAATAAGAGTTTATTATAATTTTAAGTAAAATTACGGAATAACCCTTAAAATAAGACAAATCAACAAATACATATTAAAAATCAAAAACAAGGACTACTACATTTTTACAATAAAATTTTCTAGATATAAAATTAGATAAATCAACAGATACATATTTAAAATTAAAAACAAGGACTACTTCAGTTTTACTGTTAAACTATGAAGGTATAAAATTAGATAAATCAACAGATACCTATTAAAAATTAAAAACAAGGACTACTACAGTTTTACTATTAAATTATGGAGGTATAAAATTAGATAAATCAACAAATACATATTAAAAATTAAAAACATTGACTACTACAGTTTTACTGTTAAATTAAGAAGATATAAAATTAGATAAATCAACAGGTACATATTTAAAATTAAAAACATTGACTACTACTATTTTACTATTAAATTATGGAGGTATAAAATTAGATAAATCAACAGATACATATTTAAAATTGAAAACAAGGACTACCACAGTTTTACTATTAAATTATGGAGATATAAAATAAAATTGGATAAATCAACAGATACATATTTAAAATTGAAAACAAGGACTACCACAGTTTTACTGTTAAATTATGGAGATATAAAATAAAATTAGATAAATCAACAGATACATATTTGAAATTAAAAACAAGGACTACTACAGTTTTACTGTTAAATTAAGAAGATATAAAATTAGATAAATCAACAGATACAAATTAAAAAGTAAAAACATTGACTACTACAGTTTTATTATTGAATTATGGAGATATAAAATTAGATAAATCAACAGATACATATTTAAAATTAAAAACATTGACTACTACTGTTTTACTATAAATTATTATTATTAATGTTTTATTAAATGTTTGTTTGTTGCAGAGAATAGAAAAGAAGGCTCAGGAGATGATGAGTTCAGGGTCCGGTTCATTCGAGTAATTATTCATCCCGTCCATTCATTACAAACATTAGACTAGTCAACTCACAGTGCAGTGAGTAGAACTTTCCAGTGATTATATAAAATGTCGTCTTTTATTCGCCGTCACCGCCGTAAGCTCATTTGGGGCGGAGCTGCTGTCGGCGGTTTGGTTATAGCCGCCAGAATTGTTGAGAGGCAAATGATCAAGGAAAAGATTCAGATTTTTATTTTTAAAAAAGTATATTTCCATTATCCATATTCCATTTAGATTATTATTTTCATGTTGATTCAAAACCTGGCCCAGATTCGATACAAAAAATAACATTTTGTGTATAATGTCTATTTGATTTTTTCGTCATAAAATTGATTGAACATAAATCTGTTATCCTATTATTTAAATATTCAGGGTGGCCAAAATGTACGGATTGTACGGATTGTACGGATTGATTTTTTTTTTACCCTAAAATTGTACGGATTGTACGGATTGCACGGATTGTACGGATTTGTTTTCAAATTGTACGGATTGTACGGATTTTATCCTGGAAAATACACCGTTTTTTTTAAATTTTCACTCATTTCAGCAAATTTTTCATGAAAATAAAAAAAAATTCTCGTCAAAATGAAGTTAGTTTAACTTATTTTCTGCATTCTAAATAATATTAGATTGATTAATGTTTCAATTGACAATCAAAATTCATTCATAATTTTCGAGATATGTCCAAGAAGTGTTTATTTGAGAATATGTTCCATAAGTACTTATTTGATTGCTTNTTGTACGGATTTAAAAAAAAAAATTGTACGGATTGTACGGATTGTTTTTCGAAAATTGTACGGATTGTACGGATTTCTTCTGAAAATGTACGGATTTTTGTACGGATGGGTTCAAAAAAGTTTTGGCCACCCTGAATATTATATTCATTTCGAAGAATAAAGCATTGTTAAGAGTTTGAGTTTTCAAATTCCAAGTATTGGCTTTTTTGATATGAATAAAAAAATCTTCAAAAATATTTATCAATCTGGATTTGATAGTCAAGAGAGGAAGAAGGACGGTTGGCACTTGAGAAAGTTCGGAAACAAAATCATTTTGAGAGCACCGAGTCTACTTGTAACTCCACCCTAGCTCATATACTTCATCAGCTCAAGCTCCAGATACTCCTGGAGTACCAGACAAATACGCTCACAGACACACTCAGGTACAAGTTACATTTTACATGCACTCTGGTGTTCTCTGCCTTATGGCAGTCTGGGGTTCGGTTTTGGGTTATCTTTCTTAGATTTAATTTGCCCTTGATTTGACCTTGATTTGCCCTTGATTTAATTTGACCTCTCTTTGATTGATTTGATTTGATTTGATGTCACCTTTAATTGATATGATTTGATTTCACCTTTACATCACATTGATTTGACCTTGATATACTTTGATTTCACCTTGATTTCATCTTGATTTCATCTTGAAGTCTCCTTTTGATTTCTCCTTGATTTCACCTGAATGTCCCCTTGATTTCATCTGAATGTCTCCTTGATTTCACCTGAATGTCTCCTTGATTTCACCTATATGTCCCCTTGATTTCACCTTGATCGCTTTAATTTGACCTTAATTTCACTTTAATTTCTCCGTAGATTTGATTTGACCTTAGATTTGATTTGAACTTGATGTCACCTTGATTGCACCTTCATTTCATCTTGATTTCATCATAATTTCACGACCTTGATTTGGTCCTGATTTCACTTTGATTTCACCTTGATTTCACATTAATTTCACCTTGATTAACATTTAGACGTGGACCTAGTGGGGATGAGAAGGTTCGAATCTGGGAGCAGATAAAGATGATCAGTTTCTGTAGAACCTCAGCATATATTATCTCATTCTCATTCATAGGTAACCAGGAGTATATATTTCCTTTTTTTATTCAAGCAATCTCAAAATATTTTTCCCTTTCTTTCAATATAGCTTTTCGCCAGTATGTTAAGAAGGGTTTTTATAGAAAACTAAGTGGCAAGGATTTCCTTAACTATTATTATGCAATGGCACAGTGATCCACGTACTCCGGAAGGATGCAGAGGATTGTAGGAAGGGGTGGATACCTAGTAGCATTCGTAATGTTAGGAAGGCATAATATATGGATAGATTGAGGGAATACACATGATGTTCAATACATGTACTGTAGGTGTACTGCTCCGTGTACAACTAAACGTTTTAGCTGGCCACCTCTTTACAACTAGGGTTTCTGTGTCATCACTTCTAAACAATAACAGGTTTTAATTTATATATTATAAATATATATATTTGGCTTGTCTATTTGTTTGTTTACATACCAGAAATGCCTAAAAGGCCAACAACAGGAAGGGCTTCTAAAATACCGGAGTGTCTCCTAAATATATCTATCCACCAAATAACCCCAACAATCTGGCGAGTCATACTTTTAAGTGAAATTATTATTATTGTATTAAAATATGAAGAAATTATTTTTATTACTATTAAAAATAAAATGAAGAACTAGCAGTGTCCTAAAAGCCTTGTATTTTTTCTTACTGTTTTTCAAAACTGTCGAGGAAAATTATCTTTTGATAATATTTTTTCATAATCATTATCATGAATTCAGTGCTTAGGATCCGGATTTTGGGTTCCTGGATCCGGATCCGCAAAAATATGCGGATCCACGGATCCGGATCCAAGGGGTAAAATATCAACCAAAAACTACAAAAAAAAACTTTTTTACTCCTAAAACCCAAATCTGAACTTTTGAAAAAAGAGAGATTAAAAATTTCCACATTTCTGAATGGTTCATCAAGTTTTAGGATAAAAAATAAAACAAAAAATTTGAATTTTTAATTCAGTAAATCTTAAAGAAATGACCTGGATCCGGATCCGGATCCATTTTTCAATGCGGATCCAGGATCCGGATCCGCATCAAATTTAAATGGATCCTAAGCACTGATTCATGATCATGACTATGTTCACTTTACATTCATGAATGACAATGGCCATAATTATATAAATGTTTATTGTTCACTATTATCATTTTTTTAGGTTTTTGAAGCATGAACTCTTTTTTATATTTATTTATATGCTACAAAACAAGTTTACTTTTTAGTACTTGGCTTCGGGATTCCGTATAAAATGAACGTTCTTCCTAAAGTTGGTGTCAAAATTAAAATTAAAATTATTAATATTCTAGAGAGTTAAATTGAATTTTAATGACCTCTAATGACCTCCACAAATAGAAAATATTTCAACTATGGCTTTATGCATATCAAACGAGGGCTAGGAACCCAGGGAATACAGTAGCAGCAACAAATCCAGTGTTTGACCTTCTAATGACTTCTTACGACCTCTAATGGCCTAAATGACCTCCAAAAATGAAAATGTTTTAACTATGGCTTTATGCATATCAATCAGGAACCCAGGGAATACAGTAGTAGCAACAAATACAGTGTTTGACCTTTTAATGACCTCTTACGACCTCGAATGACCTAAATGACTTCCAAAAATGAAAGTGTTTTAAACTATGGCTTTATGCATATCAAACGAAAGCTAGGAATCCAGGGAATACATTAGTTGCAGCAAATACAGTGTTTGACCTTTTAATGACCTCTTACGACTTCGAATGACCAAAATGACCTCCAAAAATAAAAATGTTTTTTTTACTATGGCTTTATGCATATCAAACGAAAGCTAGGAATCCAGGGAATACAGTAGTAGCAATAAATACAGTGTTTGACCTTCTTATGACCTAAATGACCTCGAATGACCTAAATCACTTCCAAAAATGTAAATGTTTTAACTATGGCTTTATGCATATCGAAGGAAAGCTAGGAATCCAGGGAATACAGTAGTAGCAACAAATAGGTCACAAGAGGTTAATAGAAGGTCAAACACTTTATTTGTTGCTACTACTGTATTCCTTGGGTTCCTAGCTTTCGTTTGATATGCATAAAGCCATGGTTAAAAATATTTTCATTTTTAGTGGTAATTTAAGTCATTAGAGGTCAGTAGAACGGTAAACACTGGATTCGTTGCTGCAACAGTATTCCTGGGGTTCCTAGCTTTCGTTTGATATGCATAAAGCCATAGTTAAAACATTTTCATTTTTGGAGGTCATTTAGGTCATTAGAGGTCGTAAGAGGTCATTAGAAGGTCAAACACTGGATTTGTTGCTGCTACTGTATTCCCTAGGTTCCTAGCTTTCGTTTGTTATGCATTAAGCCATAGTTGACACATTTTTTATTTGTAGAGGTCATTAGAGGGCATTAGAGGTCATTAGAGGTCATTAGAGGTCATTAGAGGTCATTCAAATTCAATTTTATTTTATTTTAGGAATTTCGAACACTAATTAGGCGTGCAGCCAAAAAATTGGAAGATTTGAACCAAAAATGAAGGGANCCCCTACATCAAACATGCCAACTCCACCATCTTCTTTTGGGTTTAGGTCTGACTGATTGTTATTCTTATCGTGGTAAATTCAATTTAAAGTTTTACATGGCCTTTATAAAGCAATACCATCCTTTCATTTCCTTCCATTTCAAAAAAAAAAAATAGCTTCTATCTATATATTGCATTCAAATAGTGTCTTTTGTAATCTTCAGATTTTAGTTATAAAGTAGAGAATACACATTTAGCATTTTTTTATTCAGGATTTTCAGAACTTTGCGAAATATTATTTGTGATAATTAAACAGTCAGTAGACTCCATACCATTACAGGTAATCATTTTTTTATACCATGTTTAAAAACAACAGAATTTCATTTTTAATGTTTAGGAAAAGCTGAAAATATCCGATTTGGAAAAGATTTTTCAACAAATTCTCCAGTCTTTGTTTACAGGTGATTTAAAGAATCTTTTCAGAAAAAAATCAGATTATTTTGTTCAATAACAAATGTTTACAGGAATTAAATTCAATATTGTTAACTAATTAAATTTTATTTTAGAATTTAAGGATCGGAATCTGTTCCTAAATCCTGGGAAGTTTCTTCTCTCCAGTTCACAAAATCCTAGGAACATCTTTAATTATTTAATAAAAACATCCATACCAAAGAGGCAAATCATTTAACTGTTCATTATATTTTTCTCTAATTTTTTGCAATTTTATACAAAAGTTTTTTTGTTGTGTCATAAGAAAATAAATTACTCTGATGATTAATGGTGTTGGTTTAGTGATTTAAAACCAGATGAGCTTGATCTGTTCTCCGTCCTTGTTTCTGAAACCTTGGAAATCCTGGAGCAAGATGAAGTGCTGGAACTTGCCAGACGGATTTCTCAACAAGGATTTGCTTTTGTCACAGACAAACTTGCTGAATCATTCGATACATCTCAGCCTCCCACCTCTTCAGTCACATTTGCGGATAATCCTGGAACCAGTTCAGATGAAAATGCGCGAAGTGTGCCTGGAAAAGATCAAATCCAGGTCGACGACGCTTTTACTTCTCCTTGTGGTATTTCCATGCCCCTGGTTAAACTCCTCCCTGTCCTTCTCTCCGTGGTGCAGGAGGACGAGCTAGCGGAGGAGGAGGAGGTGGAGGAAGAAACTGACGAATGGATTCAGCATATCATCAGTAAGTTTAAGCAAAGCTTTTGATCCGAATCCGATGAATCTATAAATTTGGCTTACATGATCCGATTCCAAGCTAAGGGGAAATGAAATAAAACTCACAATATGTTTTTCCCCATTATCAAAGTATCAAACATGATGTTTGAAATTCTGATATCTCCGGCTTTATGGGACAAGTGCATGACACAACGCATTTAAACTGAAATTACGAAAATACCAATATTTACTAAAAGTTCTGAACTGAGTGTGTTCGATACTTATAGTCCCAATCGCGTTTTCTCGATATCCACTGTGTGCACTTAGTTTGGGGATCAATGCTTATCTCTTTATTTCAGCTATCCCTTCGCCCACAGCGGTATATATAATACAAATTTAATTAATCTGCAGATTAATACATGATTGTAATAAAGCATTGATCTCGATCTCCACATTACAAGAGTTTCCAGCGTAGGGTACGATTATTATGCGAGAAATCTAATAAAAATTTAATTAATCTGCAGATTAACACATGATTGAAATCAAGCATTGATCTCGATATCCACAATAATAGCTCTGATCTTCCTGCATTAGAGGCCTATTCAATTAAGACAATTATAAAACCTTAAAACCGTGATCATTTGCTTTCAAATTCATTCCACTTATCATATTTTAAAATCTTTTTTGTTTTAGTGAACGTTGATTTGAAGATATTGGGAGCGAATATATACGAGACTTTCTGCTTTAAAGAGCAGTCTACAGCACAGCAGCAATCTTGGACCCAGTTTTTTTCCAGCTCAGTGTCAAGTTTCTTCTAAATCTCTTCACTGCATCAGACAGTTTTTTACTAGTAAAATTGCTCAAATTTGCCTTATCTAGGTTGTGATTAAAGTTAATGTTTCATCATATCAAGTTATGCTTTGTTACACGTTTCCTTGTTTTTGTGACTTGCAACGCGACTTAATTCCTTGATTAGAATTCTTCATTGATAAAACAACATTATTTATTAAAAACTTAATGTTCAAAGTTAAGCTGTTTTTGTTTTTTGACCATTTTGACGGTTTCTGTGATTTATGTAAAATGACGCTTCTTGTTTTAACACTGGTAAATAAACTTACTGCACATAATTTTTAGTTTACGAAACATTAGATGTAAGAACGGATGGTTCGTTTTCATTTTTTTGAAATAACGATCGCATCGTTTCTGTTAACGATGTAGAAAAAAATAAACCATCATTTTTGAAAATTAAAAACGTATTAGTCGATTTTTAGTTCGTCGTTTCTGCAACGAAGGTAGGTCGTTTTTAATTTTTACGAGCATCAACGAACGTTTCCGACGACTCTTCGGTAAACGACGAATATTCGTTTACGACCGTTAACGACGAACATTCGTTTATGACCGTTAACAACAACCCGATAAAACGCATTTTTGGCCGGAAAACTTCGATCCTAAAACAAAAGGTCATTTCCCTATATGAATAATAACCTGGTTAGGTGACATTCTTAAAATTTTCTATCTTTAATAAAATTCAAATTAAATGTCGAAAAACATGAAGGTCATTTATAAACTTTACAAAGTTCCGATTTAAGCTGTAAACTAATAAATAAAATGAGTTAAATGAAGAGGATAATTAGAAACTATCTATAATTGGTTCCTCTATTTTCATGTTTATTGGTTTAACACCTCCAGGCAAGAGAAATAAAGAACAGAAAGCTGTAAAATCTATCCTTGCTTTGTATAATTAGCAATTTATGTTGAAAATACAGGGTTACCCACAAATGACGAGACTGCAAAGACGATTGTCCTTCAGTCCGTTTTCTTGCACTCGAGGTTCCTGGAAGGCAAATTGGCTTATTTCTGTGCTAAATCATTTAGCAAACCCTCAAAATATTCTATTTAATGTAGAAACCAAAAATCAAGCTTCAAATTTTCATATTTTGGGTCGGTTTTACATTCTCATTCTATGTTGGCTAGCCTGTAAACTTGGTATTTCTGGAAGAAATTGAATATAGCGAATGTAGCACAAGTCTTGCAATTCTCTTTTGAGTCATACACAACTCGTGATCGATTAAAGCATTCACAATTTAGATATTCGACAATATTTCATTTATCCTGGGCTCTCCAAATTTACATATTCGACAATATTTCATTTATCCTGGGCTCTCCAAATTTACATATTCGACAATATTGCATTTATCCTGGGCTCTCCGAACTGTGAATTGAACGAATTTGGCCTGTCATGTCTGTTAGAAATCAATTTTATTCATGAGATCACAACGGCTAGAACTGTTTGGTTCAAACATCAGGAACGGTCATGGGCGGTTGAAATTGAAAGATTTAGCTTGTCAATTCAAAAACTTCGAAAGCAACGGTTAAAAGCTAAATAGCTAAAGGGCGTGCACTCGCAGTCATTAAATATTAGCAATTAATTCCTTTGAGTTTTTGTCAATTCTTCACGGTTCAAGACTCAAATATGAACTTTAAAATGGCTGAAAAAAAACACGCTGATAAATTTGAATTTTCTTGTTCCGTGAGTTACGTACAGTACACAAACAAGCTCTTTGTAAAACCCTCCTAAAATAATCGTTTGCCGGAATCCTTCAAGAAAAATTATATCCTCAATATTTAGTGTATATACATACTGGGTTACCCACAAAGGCTGATAATGTAGAGACGACCTGAAGTTTGACGGTTACAATGTTAAATTAAGTTTGTAAATTTTAATGGTCTATTTTTTGACATGGCAACGAAAAAAAAACCAGTTCATAGTTGCAGAGAATCACAAATATAAGGAACTGGTCCGTATTAATTCTGAACAGTCGTCTCTGAAGTCTAATATTATAAGTAACCCTGTATAGTGAATATAATATAAATATATCTGAAATGCTAGTTTTGTGGTTTGAAAACTCAGTGAGTACTGAGTTGCCATGGGCTACATTGCAAATCTGTTCCTACACCATCAAGATTTTGCAAAATTCCCAGTTTCTTGAGGTGTGGAACTCAGGGCCTCCTCGTGGGTTTAACTCTAATCAACAAATTTCATTCATTCATTTTGCAGAGTGAACAGGCGAATATATCGTTATCTGAAAATATATTTTTAAAAATCAAGTATCCAATAAAAAATAAAACGTGGTTTAATGTTAATTAACAAATTTATGAATTTATAAATACTTCCTCATGATACAAATTTTTAAACTGTAAGGGACCCTTTATCTAAAGGAGGAATGTCCTTGTCGCCTTTAAATCCTTAACGAAAATTACCTTGTTTGTTCTAGCTGAAAATTTCAATAAAACGTCAACAGTCTCCTTAAAGAAGAACATTTTTTTAATTCTTTTTGTTAAAAGCGTCAAAATAAATAGGTATATAGAATTTTCGATGAATTTATATATTTTATCCATATTGCCCCTTGCGTTTTTCTTGTGATTTTTGTCTAAGAATTTCTGCAGTTGTGGTTAGAATCATCTAGAGGCAGGTTACACGTCATAGGTAGTAGGTACACTGCCTGAATTCAAGCATACAGTTAGAACCAAAAAAAACTTTGTATTAGGGCCGGGTATTAGTTTCCGAGGAAAAAATCGTTTAATTTTTACAATTAAGATTTATTCTCACACACATATATAAATTAATTTAGTATGGTGTAGATACTTTAAAAAACATAAACAAACAAAAAAATTTTAAAAAGTCAAATAAAAGAATTTTACATATTCATTTAATAAACATTCTGCTTTGTAAACAAGATATTTAAATAATGAAAACATTATTTGAAAGCTCTATTTTTCAGATATTTCAAGGTATACTTTTTTCTTTCCAGGCGTCATACTTTTTGTTTAAGAATAACTGCGGGTCCGAAAGCAAAAATTAGGGAGTATAGCGCGCGATGATTCTTATTTGAGGCAGAGAAATCTAAAAATAGACTCGAGTTAGCGTTTCAAAAAAAGATAAAACTATGGGTATCTATGAGGGGAAACGACTTTAACATTTTTGATTTTGGACTTTTACTCAAAGAAACGGTTGCAGTAAAAAAGTATGAGTCCTAAAGAAAAAGATTACACCGTGAAAGAACTAAAATATAGAGCCGCCTATAAATGCCACCTTGATCGTAAGAATTGGACGAAACGTATTCCCTCAGTATCCAATAGGTCTCATCAAATGCCTTTTTAGGACATACTGTGTATAGTATCCATGGTCAGGCTTGAACAGATTGTAATTTGGTGATAGATATTTTTAACAGGAAATCCCGGCAACTTAGACTTAGACATCCCACATATATATATATATATATATATATTAAAAGAAAATTCCTGTGTTTTTAAACTCCGCGGCCCGCGGGCAATAAAAAATAATAAATAAATGTAATAACAACATAACTAGAGGAGCTACGAGGTTACAACGTCGAATCAGTAATGTCGCATGAGTTTTACCTTCTCCTTTTATATAGTTCACAATGTTCTACATTCATATTGATAAATATATCATCAGTTCATAATTTTATTTAACTTGATTCGATGAAACTATGTATAACAATTACAATTAACTGAAGCAAGGACCGGCCAGAGTTATTTATTTACAGAAAAATGTTGCAATTTGTACAGTTGTCCTTTCTCCTCCTCTATACTGCAGTATCAGGTACAGAAGTATCACTAGTATGTTCTAGATTTAGGGAACTCAGCTTTGTCTTGAGTTTAGATAAGTTGAAGCCAAAATCCTCGTTGTCACAATTTGGATATAAAACCAACCCCTCTTATCGGTTAAGAGATTATAGAGCGTTAAGGCATATATTCACTTTCAGACAACCATAAGGACAGAAAGAGAATACTACTGTAATACAGCGTTACCTATAAAGGATGAGAATTCAAAAATGACCTGAGGTTTATTGTTTATTATTTTAATATATGATTTGGCAAAGGAAGCAAAAGTTTAAAGTGAAAGAGAGCTATCAACGGGAGAAAAAAGGAAATATAGATTTAAATATTCATACTTGGAACCAGTTTGCTGCAGTGTAATTTGCTATTTTTTAAACAGGGTTTACATTCTTTGGTGACACCCGTGTGAACCAGCTTCTCCAGGAAAAGGTAAAATAAAAGAAGATATTTCGTGAAACATTGTTTTAAAAAAAATAGATTTTATGAATATAGCGGGAAGACAATGTTTAGATAAAAATTAAGATTATTTAATTGTAATAATTTTGGGCGTTTATTTAGAATATGTATTACTGTGTTTAGTAGGCCTCCAAAAAATAAATTAGTGCAATATCCAGAAGTAAATGCCCGTTTTTAAATAATTCAAGCTTTTGGTTTAAAATGAGTATTTTCAAAATTTTATTTGCTTTTTTGCGCCAGAATGAGCTGTTTGTTTACGAGCGGAGCTGAGTAGAAATGAAGAAGATACCGCCTTTTTCTTAAAATTAAAGATTGAGTTTATAATATCCTACCTCATGTTCCCTGTGCTTAAATCTCCAATTCACATAGTTGGAAAACACCCAACGGAAAATTAATAATTTTAAGAAACAAAAACTCTGATATTTCTGTCATTATTGTTCAGACAAATGTTTTAAGATTGTGGGTCACTCTACGAATGAAGGGTCACTTAAATTTACGTCTACAGTTTCTTTAAAACTATGCATATAGGGATCGAACAAATAATTTTAAATGTGCCTTAACTTTAAGAGGTTGTGTCTAAAAATGCAATCGATCATCATGCTTTGCCTATAATAAGGTTTAAAAAATAAAGTTGTAAATGCACGGTATTCTTTAAGGAGAAGATTACTTAAAGAATAATGGCAATTCCTTTAATCATTTGAAACAGTTTCCTTTAACTAGGAGCAGGGTAGGATAGTTCTCCTGGATCCAGCAGCTGAGCTGGTCAGAGAGGATCCTCCTGGTAGCGGCAGGTACTTTATCCAACACTATCCAGGTAGTGTGTTCTACAGATCCAGAATAGAAAGGGATCGTAAGTAAAAAAAAAATTCTGTTCTGAGATCGTAAAAAAAGTGAAAATTAAAAAAAAAAATTCTAGAAAACTCTTTTGCTGATTCAAATAAAAGCTAATCAAATGTCCAAAAAGTATTTCCACGTTAATTAAGACATTAATAAAAAGCACGGTTTGTTAATTGTACAATTTTTCTAAATTTACTTTAGAATTGTCCCTGTTAGAGTGGTAGAGTCGATAGAGTTCTTGAGAGAGGCTGGGAGAAAACAGGAACAGGTAAGATAGAGTTCTTGAGAGAGGCTGGGAGAAAACAGGAACAGGTAGAATAGAGTTCTTGAGAGAGGCTGGGAGAAAACAGGAACAGGTAGGATGGAGTTCATGGTAGAGGCTGGGAGAAAACAGGAACAGTTAGGATAGAGTTCTTGAGAGAGGCTGGGAGAAAACAGGAACAGGTAGGATAGAGTTCTTGAGAGAGGCTGGGAGAAAACAGGAATAACCGATAGGATAGAGTTCATGAGAGAGGCTGGGAGAAAACAGGAACAGGTAGGATAGAGTTCTTGAGAGAGGCTGGGATAAAACAGGAACAGGTAGGATAGAGTTCTTGAGAGAGACTGGGAGAAAACAGGAATAACAGGCAGGATAGAGTTCTTGAGAGAGGCTGGGAGAAAACAGGAACAGGTAGGATAGAGTTCTTCCCGCCTTTACAAGGATGCATTTGTTTAATTCTTTACAAAATTTATTATTTATACAATTTGACATTTATTTTATCAGATGCACATTGATGTCAGTCGGTTCAAAAGTTTGGTCAGCTGGGACTTCAAGTTAGTCATTAAATTGATAGTTGGTATCTTAGATATAGTAACGAGACCTGGGGTGAAAATTTTCAACCAAAATCACCCTTTTAACTCGTGACAGGCGTGCGGGACTATTATTGAGAACTTTCTTTTATAAAACCAGACGACAAGGAGAAGATGAAAAGATAGAGAACGGGACGAATACAACAGATACAATACTTTAACATAAAAACCGGCCAACGCAAACTAGTTTTTGAAACAAGATAGAACAACTTGAAATGATGATTAATTGGATGGATTACGTGTAAAGAAAATAATTCTTATCAAGTCTACGGGAACTTAGTCCAGTAAAAGTTAATATGCTTTATGTTTAACCTAAACATTTATCTTCATCTTGATTTTCTGGACTTTATCTTACGATCCTGTGCAGTGCAATGGCATAAATCCTGTTTTGGTTCATTAACCTCTTTCAGAAAATCTCCAATCATTTAAAGAGTTGCATACAAGGATTTAATGCAAGGAAAGTTTTTTCAGAGGTTTACGCATCTTTGTACTTCAATGTACAGTCTTTGGGCGGAAAAGTAAACACAAGATGGATGTCACAGCCTGACATGGAATCCTTTTTCACAAAAATAATCTATGAAATATTCTGGTCATAGGAAACTATTATGTGAATTTTCAATATTATCAAAATTAAATGCTTTAAACAACCTCGGATACTAAACGAACACTGATGCATCTATTCTTGTATACAAATTCCGCCCAGAGAGAACTGGTTTCACTATGTACGCAGAGTATACGCGACAGCAATTAACTTTCCTTGCATTAGTACCTTGGTTGCATATTCATTTACAAACTGTACCCTGTAAACCTTTAATTTAGTCCAATTTTGGAAGATATTGTCTTTCTATTAAAAAAAAATAGTTTTCCATTGCAGTTCCTTTATGAATTTAAGGATTTTGACAAAAATAATGTCATAAGATAAAATAAGGAAGACAGCTTCCTAATAGTTGCTCAGATGAAGATGTGAAGGGTCCTGTTGTGAATCAAATATATCAATCTTAAAATTAGAGGTCAAAATTGATTAACTTTAAACCAATTAAATTGCCATGCATTTTACTAGTTCCTCTCCCCGGATTAAATACTGCGAATGCAGTTTAAAAACCCCATTAAGCACAATAAACTAGAATAAACAATAATAAACTACAATAAACTACAATAAACTACAATAAACTATAATAAACTACAATGAACTACAATAAATTACAATAAATTACAATAAACTACAATAAACTACAATAAACTACAATAAATTACAATAAATTACAATAAACTACAATAAACTACAATTAACTACAAAAAAAACTATAATATACTACAATAAACTAAAATAATCTACAATAAACTACAATAAACTACAATACAATACACTGCAATAAATTACAATAAACTACATTAAACTACAATAAATTACATCAAACTACAATAAACTACAATAAACTATAATATAAACTACAATAAACTACATTAAATTACAACAAACTACAATAAACTACAATAAATTACAATAAACTACCAAAAAAAAATACCATATTCAATGTCCAGGATGAAGAGGAGTGGCAGGAGTCCGTGTTGAATGAATTGCAGGAGGACAAGGATGTATCCCAGGAGAAGGAGTTCGAAAAACAGGAGATTGTTTATAACATTCTGGATTCGGAGCTGGAGAAAACGCGACCTGTTCAGTCCCCGATATTGGTTCCAATTCAAACCCGAAACCAAAATATTTACCACCGTCCAATTGGGGCATACAACCAGGTTTTATTTTATCTAAGGTTTAAACAACTTCTACTATACATATAATATTGTTTTGTGTTTAATCCATTGCTTTATATTTTTATCATTATTATTATTTATATATATTGATTCTAGGTTCGCCCAACAGCTCTGTACAGAAGAGAAGGTTCAAGATTGGTATTAATTCAGTAAAGTTTGCTTCAATAAAACTATTTGGAAATATCTTTGCACCTGTTATTGTAAAATATTTCATGAGCCGGGGGGAGGAGGAGTAGTTTACAGCTTTTGACATAACAATATAATAAATATTCTATAGAACTGTGTTGCTAAGGGAAACTAGGGGACCACAAATGTGCAATACAAAATTCCATCATAGGGTATCCCAATTTGTTAATATATCATACGACAATAAAATTTTGGAATAAATACTTACAAAAACTGACGTTTTAATCTCTAGTGGCAAAAGCGGGGCATCCACGATTCACAACGGCACCCTTTCAACTAATATATGTGGAAGATATCGTCGTTCTATTTCTGAAAAGTGTTATTTTGGACAAATCAATAATTGTTTATGCATAGCAGAAATCTAATAATCACTTTTATTGACAATCACAATTGAAAATAATCTATTTTTAAATAAAAAACAAGGATTTCTTTATAATTCTTGATCATGGAACGCTTTTAAGGAATGATGTGAATCGGACACTCTACTATATATATTTAGACCCTATATCAACCAACGTCAATATTGAACAAACTCAACTATCAACTGTGAGAAAGTATTAAATTGAATACGGAAACCATTCATATATTATTCATATATTTATTCAACTACAAAGCATGAGATATTACAAATAAGCAATCACAATTTACTATGCAGTTTGGACCCACCTAACCAGGGTTGGTTGTTTTGAGTGGTTGACCTGAAGTTAATTAACGATACTGAATACAATTGGTTACACATATCAAGATATGTTTTTGGATAGGTAAGGAGTTGATTGTAAGAAAGGAGATTGTCAGGTGATCTGTGGCAGGGTGAGATCAGAGGGATTTTTATGTAGAGATAAATTAAAATACAGGGTGTTAATGATGGTAGTTACAGAAACAGAAATAAGCTAATAAAGTTTTAGTTATTTTATATAAAATTTATTCACACGATAAACAGCAAGGTTTTTCGCATTTAAACCTCTCATAATTCTCAAGATAAATATTGATTACTCTTTGTTTGAATATTTTTTACAGATTTAGTTTCTTTAGGGTCAATTTCAATTTCATTCCACAATTTAGGAAACATTGCGGACGGAAAGCTTTCTAAATTTTTGTTTAAAACCCGTTCTAATTTATATGATTTTGTTCTATTCGGTTCAGCTAAAGACTTAAACNCCGCATGGATTTGCCAAAAAATAGCGAATTCAGTTTTTTCATGTCGAGCTCTCATATGCCGAGTTCTGATAAAGAAAACAACAGCATATTTCTATTTCAGATTTAAAAATCAAATATCTCCTATTTAAGTGGCTAGCTAAGGGTCACTGTCCTATAACCCCCCCCCCCCTCATCAGAAAAGTACAAATGTTTAGATAAGAAAACTATTTGTTTTCAAAAATTGCTTTTTGAATATGATTTAAAGGAATTGAGCAACAAACTCTGATTGTAAGGAATATCGTAGCAAACCCTATATTTGTAAACCTGAAGACACATACATATCTTACGTTGTACATTGTCTGTAAATCTAAATGCGCTTATAAATAACTACGCATAACTTGTATTGGATTAACCTAACCTAGCTACGATTGTAAATAACTATGTCAAACCTGAATTGTGATTAGCTTTACTATCCTTGTATATATCATATTGATTGACATTGATAGTAAAGAATTGTTGAACAGAATAGTTCTTATGCCTCGTAGACCAACGAGAGGGATTGAGTTGTACCTGGATTGATACTGACCAAAGTATCTATTGAAATGGGGCATTTACTACAAGATTTTCTTATGTCTACATCATTGCAACCCAATGTTTTAGACCTTAGATATTTCAAACTATGAATTCTGTCAGCCAAAAATAATACAAGTTTGAAATAATAAAGCTTCACATCGTCAGGGTGCAAGGTTAGAGGGATTGGAAAATTTGAGTTTGGGGCAAAGACTCAACTTCTTTAATCTAAATCTGATTAGGTTTAATTTCTTAGAACAATCTTTACTTTGTGCACTATAGTTCTGATAAATTTACAATTTTAAGTAATAATCATGGGCCGCAGTTTGGACAGTTGTTATACTGTAGAGATATATACTGTAGAGATATATATTGTAGATATATATATTGTAGAGATATATAGTGTAGAGATATATATAGTGTAGAGATATATAGTGTAGAGATATATAGTGTAGAGATATATATATAGTGTAGAGATATATAGTGTAGAGATATATAGTGTAGAGATATATATAGTGTAGAGATATATAGTGTAGAGATATATAGTGTAGAGATATATATAGTGTAGAGATATATAGTGTAGAGATGATATATAGTGTAGAGATATATAGTGTAGAGATATATATAGTGTAGAGATATATAGTGTAGAGATGTACAGTGTAGAGATATATATTGTAGAGATATATATTGTGGAGATATATAGTGTAGAGATATATATATATTGTAGAGATATATATATTGTAGAGATATTTAGTGTAGAGATATATAGTGTAGAGATATATAGTGTAGAGATGTATACTGTAGAGATATATATTGTAGATATATATATTGTAGAGATATATATTGTAGAGATATATATTGGAGATATATAGAAAAGAGATATATTGTGTAGAGTATATAGTGTAGATATATATAGTGTAGAGATTTGTATTGCAGAAATATATATTGGAGATATATAGAAAAGAAATATATAATGTAGAGATATATAGTGTAGAGATTTGTATTGCAGAGATATATATTGGAGATATATAGAAAAGAGATAAATAATGTATAGATATATAGTAAAGAGATTTACATTGATGAGATATATAGTGGAGATATATATTGTAGAGATGTATATTGTAGAGATGTATATTGTAGAGATGTATAGTGTAGAGATGTATATTGTAGAGATGTATATTGTAGAGATGTATAGTGTAGAGATATATAGTGTAGAAATATATAGTGCAGAGATATATATTGTAGAGATATATAGTGAAGAGATAGTAATAAATAAATATGAAGAAAATGTTATAAGAAGATTGTTGCGTTTCAACTGATATAGTGAAGAGATATATAATGTAGAGATATATAGTGAAAAGATATATAATGTAGAGATATATAGTGAAAAGATATATAATGTAGAGATATATAGTGAAGAAATCTATGAGATATATAGTGGAGACAGAGGCGTATTCAGGGGGGGGGGTTATTTGGGCTAAGCCCCCCCTGGACCAGTGAAATCTATTGATTTCAGAGGGTTTTCATGCCCCAACGGGTGCTGAGACCCACCCTGGAAAGAAAGAAAAAAAATTTAAGCCCCCCCTGGACAAATTCCTGAATACGCCCCAGAGTGGAGAGATTTAGAGCTCAAGTAGCATTAAGGAAAAGCATGGATTAAACCCAAGTCAAGAATATTTTATTTGGAACTATTCCACCATTTTCATTTCAGATTTTTGTATGCGTATCGGCCGCGGGTGACGAATCTGATTCAAGAAAATTTCAATTAGGAAATTTACAAACAATAAAAAGACGACATTAATAAATCCAATAACTACGAATATCTTTAGCCAGTGTAAAGTGTATAATCTATTTAAGACATATGGTGGAGGGAGGGTGGCTGCTTCCAGGGTTTTGGAGTTGCTCCCAGGGTTTTGGAGTTGCTCCCAGGGTTTTGGAATCGCTCCTGGGTTTTAGAGTAAAATGTGAAAATTCATCCGAATTTATATAGAAAGACCTTTAAAAAGGGTGCTTTAAAACCAAAAATTGAAAAGGGGCTTTGCTACCCCTTTTTACTGTCTTTGTTCAGATATTTTCAGGGGAAAAATCGCAAATTTCAGTCCAATTAGCCTGTGGCGATCATATAGTTCTGATTAGGAAAACTGATGACATTTGTTTTAGCTTATACATAAAGATTATTGGTAAATGTAGATACATAAAGGTTTCATTTGAGATGGTCTAATACATCTCAACATCTTTATAAGTTATCTTATTTCCAAGTTTTTTTTTAGAAAAATTCAATTTTTTTATCTAAAAAAATCTTTAATTGACTGGTGCGGGTTGCCATTAAAAAATGAGTTTTTACTCAACGGTCACAAAAATAAAAATGGTTCTATGTCAAATTGAGAGCCTTTATATGGTCTGCACTATACCAAAAATCATCAAATTATTGAGATATCTTAGGAAAACAAAGAAAAAACATAGTTTTCCTCAGATATCTCAATAATTTGATGATGATTTAAATAAGATCTAAATAAATCTTTACATCAGAACCATACATTTGAATGAATATGCAAATTGCGCAGAGTCCAAAACTGAAGAATGCGCAAAATTTAAGTTATAGCTTAAAAGTTCTGTAAAATAATGAGTGTTGCTTAAATACTTTCTAAATTTAACCCTGAGAGGAAATTTAAATTTCCCGGGAAATATCTGAACCAATCAGAGAAAAGGATTTAAGAGATCATTGCAAAGCTGTTAATTTTAAATTATTTACTTGTTTATTTATTTGTAACTCACTAATTCAAAAAAACATATTTCTAGTAACAACCGTTTTTTGGGTTTATGAGCAAACATTTATTGATCTAAAAAGTGAAATTTATTCAATCAAGGTTTTTACTTTTAATTGTATCGTAAAGTTAAATGCTTTCTCAGCTGAATGATGATTGATTGATAGACGATTATAGGGAAAATGCGGGATTTCAAGACTTTAACCCTAGCCTGGGTTTAAGTTTTAACTCGTCGATTTAGGCGAGTTAAATATTTAACCCCAGGGTTAAAATTCAGGTTTAAATTAAGTCAGAAGTGGCAATTAAGCTGAAACTTAAAATTTAAGTCGGAACTTTTCATTCTTTAGTTTTAGACTCAGATCTCTTAAAATATATGATCAAAATGTTTAATAATGTCTTTTTAAACTTTATTTAACATCTGTAAAATAAAGCTCTTTACTTATATATTTATGTCAGCTATAGCTGGCCAAACGGCTGGATTGAATGGGCTGAAATTTGTTTTAGGAAACCCATATGTACGTACCCT